AGATTTGAACTCGGAACCTGCGGATTACCAACTCCTTAACCACTAGGCCACGCTCGCCTCTACAATCGGATTGAACTCAGATCAGGTACAAATTTAACGCTCCGAAAAACATGAAATAAAGCAAAAAGGGAGGGACGCCATCTCTCTTTCCTGATGTACTCTTACCTGACCGTTCCGGTTGACGGGTATTGTTGACTGGGCAACCTTCATCATCAGGATTCTGACAAGGTGGTGTAGTGTAATTGGCACACTGATCGCTTTTCCCTGCCATTGGATCCTTGTCTCCTTCGCAAAAGGGATTGAACGAACCAAGGACCTCTTTTAGTATACCATCGGCCACATCTGAGCGATTGCAGTAGGTACGCCACGCGTAGATGATACACTGTTTGGCTTCGTCACGTTTCCTGTCACGATGGAACCAAACATGATGAGGAAACCACAAATAAAAGTAAATCAAGAAGTAACTCTATTGTTCTCCTCAACATTTCATATTTGCCCTCGAAGCTTAGCTTCGCGGCCAAATATTCATTTTTCGGACAATCTCTTAGCCGCGGACATTATCAGCCGACATACTAGCCGCCCGAAGGGGCTTATTTACTAAATAGATCACAGATGACGTCAAAATGTGGTGAGAACAAAAAAGTGGCACATGTGGCGATAGCTGAATGTGTCACTGATGTTCTTGCCACATTTTGACGTGTTTTGTGATCTAGTGCTGAACAGACGCACGGCAACATGGAATCTACTTGTTGTATGCGAAGAAAAAACAAAGAATGCTAACAACGTCATCTAGGTGTCTGTCCTCCAATATATCATAAGTAAGAACCAATCAAAATAAGGAAATAATTTGTATAACACGGTATCACTTCATGAGCTACGTGGTCGATCTCGTCTCCAGGCCCTGTTTTTTTTTTCAAATAAATACCAAGAACGCTGACTCTGACCGGTCCGATATTTTTAGCAAACCCGGCGTACTCATTTTTAACTGTCTAGCAATCAGCTCCAAACGGAATCGGTAAAAAGTCAGTGAATCCAGGGCACCACCCCCAAATCGAGTTTGACCCAGCCCGCGTTCTTGGTGCTAAATAAAAGAAAAGCGTGCTCTAAAAAAAGACTGGAAGATGGTAGGTGAGAAAATCTAAGAGGGCATGCCCAAAATTTAACTTGAAAAGGCGGACGTGTAGCGGGGATAAATAAAAATTATTGGACGAGTCTGAGGAAAAGATCGTGACCTGTCAGTGAGGAGATTGCCGAAACCAAAGGCTGAGGCAAGTAATTCATTTGCAAGACACTGAAAAATAACGATGTTTTGCCCAATAACCGAGTTCAATAATTGTTTTATCATTCGATCACCAAGTTTGTTTTCATATCTAAATCACTCTCTGACAGCTCAGGGAAGTGATCCGC